AAGTTTTAAGTAACAATGGAAGTGTCAACAATGGAAATCTTACGTAACAATGGAATTGTTAAGAGAAAGCGACGTGCGATACGCAGATGCAGTTTTTTCGTTTTTGCGGGAAATCGAACATATTTTTAGACCCATCTAAAAATTCTCTAAGGGGACCCAATTTTTGCATTCTGTGAAAACGGGTAAGGTTGACTGTAACGTAATAATCTTTATCTTAGTTATCGTTACTTTTGCCCGAGCAACGCCGGGCCCACCTGCTAGTTAACAAATAAAAGATAAATGGATTGTAGAAAGTACGCTTTACGTTTTTTTTAAACAAATAGAAATTAATCTTTATTTTCTTTTTACGGCAAATTAAAATTCTTAATTTAATTCGGGTGTTAATTTGACCTCATTTTGTATTAGGTTAAGCCGATTAATTAAGAAAGGATTTTTGGAAATTCCATCCTCTGGGGGGAAGAGGAGGAGAGATAGTCGGTATAAAGTGTAAATAGTAAAGAAGGAAAGTAAATAGTGGCGCATATAGTATACATTTTGGCAATTAATAAATATTTCAATCATTTTCACTTTTCGGGTTACCCCAAAACTATAAATCCAAAATAAACGATAAATTCTAAATACAATGTTCCAAACAAGTTTATTTAGATTTTAGAATTTAAAACTAATCATTTTATTCGAGTAAGGTTATCATCGAGTAAGTTAGAATCATTACTGAATTATAACTGAATAAATCTTTTAGTATTTAAAAAGAATTTTTTTAAATAACCTAAAAAATAAAATTAGAAAATCAGGAGAATTAAGGATTATCCTGAACTCGGATTAATAGTGTACCTATCAATTATAAGTACTATACGTACAGTACCGGAAGGTACCGTACGAAAATTCAACTACGGTACCTTCCGGTACCGTAGTTGAATTTTCGTACTAACACGTCAATACACTCCACAAGTTAAAAAGTATTGCTACTAGTGAGATTACTTCGGCAGAAAAAGCAGCTAATGTGACAACGAGGGGGTCCTTTGACGTCACGTTTCACACTTACCATAGTCATGCTATGGATTCGACCTCGCCAGTCTCACTATTCGTGTGTTAAAAATTCAAAGTTTATTTTCCGAATATTACCAAAAAAAAAAAAAAGAAAGAAAATATAGAAAGTGGAGAAATCTTCGTTTCCTGTGGAGCCCGCCCATTAATTAAATACGTGTACAAATTAAGGGAAAGAAAAGGTTGCGAAAACTTCATCATTGTATACAACTAAATGTGGACCCTTAATGGACGGCCCCTTGATGGTTTCTGTCTCTATCCTACGTCAGCTTTAGGAAAAGAGTAAAGGGGTAGTCTCGCCGGTCACGGAATTTAAATATAAGTTCTAGTATGACGTCACGCCATTTATTTTGTACCGTATTTGAGTCTTTTCGATTCTTTCGAAGGTGCAAAATATAAAGATTTTTTAAAATAACATTACTGTAGACAGTAACGTTATTGTTTAACGTAAACAATTTTAACTGTAAAGCATTTATTTGCAGAAATCTTGCGTCTATCTTAGCACATATTTTGTTCGCTCTCCCTATCGGAATTAACACATAAAAAATGACGTCATGCTAATGTAAATTAACTTCCGCGGGAACACTACCATAACTCGTATTCTTGTTATTTCCTGGTTAACTTAATCGGGATAAATTATCTCGATTAACTTTCGTTGTGTAAACGCAAGGTCTTAGATTATCTAAATCTAAGACCTTGCAATGTACCAAACCGTCGATCCTACTCTGGCGCCATCTCATTTTTCTCTCGTATAAAAATAATTAAATTAATTTTTTGAAATTTACTGCCAATATTATTATATTGTGTTATAACTTGATTTCGAAATTTGTAATCATATTTAAAATTTCTACAAATTATTAATATTTACATTATCGAAATTAAATTAGTCTAAATTGAAACTGTTTTCTTTTTATGAACTCTTTTGCCCTGTGAACACTAAAAAAGCCTTTCTTACAAAGCCAATCATGGGCTCGGCCAAGCCACAATGGGTCGACCTGGGGGTAAGGAATGGGGTCCGACATATCCGAACGGATCATTCTCCGAAAACTTCCTGGGCTTTTCTATCTATTCGGATTCGTTTCCGAAAAAGTCCCGGATTCGAATTCGCCAAGTCTTTTTCGTCCCGGATGTGTCGAGCCAGTTCCTCACCACCCGCCTCCACTGTGGGCCCGGCCGAAACCGCTCTTTTTATTTGTTAATGTCGACAGGGCGGATCAAATAAAACAATACCCTATTTATTAAAACTACATATTAACAGTTTTATTCGGTCTTTTATTTTTCCGGATTCGTTTCCGGATCCCCAGATTGGTCATCTTAATCGTTCGGCCATTTGTCTTAATGTAATGTAAGAAAGTCACAACAGAAAAGTCTTGTTTTTATAAGAAAAAAAAATTATATAAAGGGTTTAATCTGAAAGAAATGTCGAGTTATTATTTGAAAAGAGAAATTCGTATTTACGGGCTCATTTTACAAAGTGAATATTTAGTGTAATATAGAACGTAGAAACATTAACTTAAATACACGTGGCGTGTGTGCATCTACATCGATTAATGAATTAATGAATTAAGTTAACGTGTCATTTTTTCACACAACGTAGCAACATGGGTAAAAGCACTCGCAGTATCGTAATCGGTAAGAATGGACCCTCTATTTTAATGATTTGACCATTAATTTTTGGCAACAGTCGAAGGAGCGGCGAGTGAACTTTTCGGAGCAGTAAACGGACTCGCTGGGACTCGGTTTGCTTGTTGGTCTAATGACGCTAATGATAAAAGAGGCCCTCTTAGTGCCCAGGGCCTGAAAAGTATATAAAAATTTACACGTGTGAAACAATCCGTCGTATTTTTAGTTTAGAAAATGTATATATAATTATACTTTTTTGTCAATGTCAAAAGAAAAATTCGAATACGAAATCTAAATTTGTTGATGAAGCGTAACCATTGCTGTTTTTTAAGTACTAAAAGTATCGATAACTAAAAGTTAAAGTATATTAATTACTTAAGAGGTTCCTACTCTAGCAACCTAATGACTCAGTTTATTTTAGGTTTGGTTCATTCGTATACGGCAACGTTACACGTGGGCGATCTGCCGAGGGAAAGTTTTTTAAGGGAAACCGACCCCTATTTACGTGTTACTAACGTGAAAAAATCCCGAAAAACTCCACGTAGTCACATGCCAACCAGCAACCGGTGATCGGTGGTTTTATCCACTCGGCCGGTGGTGGGGGTCAATTTATTTTAATCACCGGTCAGGACAAATTTTGAGAAAAATACCGAAAACGCTCGGGTTCAAACAAGGATGTCACTCGAATTTCTAACCGGTGAATTAGTTCTTGAATACAAAATAATATTTATCGAAATTATCGCAACATTTGTTCATTCATATAACACTTTCCTCGGTTTTCATCAGTAAATCTATATTACACGTGTATGCCACCTGATAAAAATGTGTGCGATAACCTTCAAACTTGTTGTAATATTTGAAGCAACGTCAGAGTTTCGAATAAATGCGTTTTGTTTTACAAATTAAAAGGAAAATAAATTTAAAATCTTCAAATAAAGTAATTCAGACACAGTGATTAAATTATCAAAAGTTGGAATTTTCTACAAAATGAGATCTTGTGGCCCGTGATCGAAGGACTTAAGCTGTAAAATGCCTGTCAATTTGAGAGACCGGTTCCAATCCGAATTGAATTTTTAAAACTTTTTCGCCCTCTATTTACTAAGAAGGCCTCTTTAAGAAGCTCATTGCGGATTCGACCGAAACCACAATGGAGCGGCAGGGTGGAGAGCCGGAGGGGCCCGACCTATTCGGAAGGATCACCTGCCGAAATATCCCTGGGGTTTTCGATCCGTCCGAATTCGATCATAATCCTCTCAGAGCGATGGGCTGCCTTCAAACACTCTAGGCCATCCTGTGGGCACTAAAAGGCCTGACGGATTCGCCCCGACAAATGGGTTAGCCGCATGGAATTTTTCGGATTTTCGTCACGTGTCTAACATAAATAGGGGCCAATTTTCCATAGCAAGCCCTCCCAGAAGGCACTCTCCCGAACAGGTCGTCCAAGTGTGGCGTTGCCTCATCCGACTAAACCAGGGGTGGCGAATCTTTTTAAGCCCGCGTGCCACGTAGTAAGGATACTTAACATTAAAGATGTTAATGAGTGCCAATATCTTAGAACTTCGAATAATGCTCACCACACGGCTGCCCCATCGTTGGCCAGGCCGAACTCATAATGGGCTCGCTAAAAGAGGTCTTCTTAGTGCCCATAAGGTAGAAAGAATTTTTTAAAAATTCTGCACTAAAACAAACCTTACTAAAAGCATTAAAACAGTCGAGGAAATGAATTTTTATTTCGAATAACGATTATTCAGTCACGCTTTTTATTGTTTTTGGATTGTTATATCAAATGTTTTACTTTGATTAATCTTTGAATTAAGATAAAATATACATTTTAATGAACATATATTTGCAATTCAAACGAATGCCGAAAAATACGTAGGCACTTACGACACTTCGCAGATGTCGAGTATACCGCAGGTAACTTCCGCGTGGGAAGAATTACGTATTGTTTAGCATTGGGCTGCGTAGGAAAATGAGAATGAGCAGAATTTACTGCGTAAAAGAGAAACTGTATTTAAACACCAGCGAAAACGGAATTCTTCACAACAAACTGAGACGAGCCCGCTCCCGTTTCTAATTTGCAAACAAAGGACACGACAGATCTATCGACTCGATTCAAAACAGAATGATGAGCAAAGTCCTACTCGTTCTTTTCGTCTTTGGTAAGTCATTGTATCGTGTGCAAGTTATTGCCGGAATTAAAAAATAACGTCTTATTGAGATTTTTAAAATCAATTTTTATTGCTATTTATATGTAAAGTCTTCGGAGTTGGCCTTTAGTCGAGCGCCAAAATTCCCGTTTCATTACTTCAACGGTTTAACAATTCGTGGCCAAGTGGATAAAACCACCGAAAACTGTCAGTTGGTCGCGGGTTCGCGCCTGGCCACTTGGAGTTGGCCCAGTGTATATTTCTGCACGTGTCTAATTCCTAAACGGAAACAGATTTTCGATAGAAAGTCCTTCTTTTTTGGCAGATTGCCCGTGTGTTACGTTGCCTTATCCTTTCTTGGCCTTCCTCCATTCGACTAAATCTTCTCTATTACGTTGGACGTTTATTTTCATTTTTTTCCACCCGAGAGCACTGAAAGGACCTAATGGGAGGAACTGGAAGTATTGTCTCAAAGTTGAAAATTATTGGGTAGAAGTATTTTATGGCTCATAATTGTCACGTACTCGATATACGAGTACAAACAGCTCTCCACCAAACCTATCGCAATTCTCCGCCTTAATTTCGACTTTCAAATTACTTTTAAAAACAGAATAAAAAATTCGAAAATAGAATGAATAAAAGCGACAAAGAAATTAATCTGAAAAAAATTTAAAATAATTAAAATATTTGACTCTTAAGTAGCAGCTATTTTTGAAAATTTATTATTGTATTAGTGAATAATAACCCCGTATTAAAGTGGCACGTAATCGTTATTAACGCAATAAAATTATTCTTTGCAGGAATTGTCTTTCTTGAAACTAGTGAAGCACAATGGGATCAGGTATGTATAAATAAAATAATACAATTAAAACTAGGACTTTATTCTTAAAGCTTCTAATCCTTTTTACCTTAGGATTTTATTCTTTTATAGCTACATTTTTTGGCTATTAATATATACTTTTTCTTGTTTTATTCCCTTTCTTCTTATTGTTTTTTTTATTAAACTCTAAACCTCCAAGATGCACGTTTCGGTTTTTCCACTCTTCTTCGGTTAGAGCATTACAATTTTATGTAATAAAGTTTACATAATTAAAAGTTTTATTTTATAAGTCACTTATATTTTAAAACATGAGAATTAAAATTTAACTTACATTAGTATACAATTTTAAAGAGTATTTTTCTTAATTAGATAGTATTTTCTTCATTTTTAACAGTATACACTTGTAGACCTTTTATGTTTTTTACTATAATCAAACTATCATCACATTTTATCTATTTGTGTTTTACAAATTAATTATTTAAATTATAATTATACAAATATTTTTGTTACAATGTCTAGCCATTGTATAATTTTCATTATTGGACTGCAATTTGAAAAAAACTGTAGGCCTATAAATTTCCACTGTGGCTGTCTTTCTTTTATCTCGAGAACAAAGTTAGATAAATGAAATTCAAGACCAGATATGAAAAGCTTAGGAACAGTAAAATCTTAATTAATCCGACCGCATTCGAGATACGACACGTGACCTCTATCTCTCCACCCCGACAACCTTTAACCACTAAAATTTAATGGCATCGATTCCCGTAATACAAACCTCCATGCAAACTTTCAGAAGTTTTCGACAAAAGGCCCAGGAGTTATTAAGTTTCAAAGAAGGCGAACAAAATCGAGCCCCTCCCACACGCGAACATTCATACATACAGAAAAAAAAATCCTTTAAATTCCTTTGCATTTCTTCTTGTCTCAAAGTCCCAAGATGTAAAAATCTCGAGGTTTCATTTTTCGACCGATGGCCATACTTCCCCCCTTTTATATATAACAACAGGAAGTTAAATTAATAAAATAATTCAACGGATCGTTGTAAGATATCTTTACATTCGAACAACGTGTCCGAATGTAAAGTTTTATGGTGAAAATGCCATCCAAACCCGGATTCGCTGGTGTAATATTATCCAGTATCGATCGTGTGATATAAAATAATGAAAATTTACCTTATATAAAATTTCTTCCATGTTTTAATAATTGATATTTATTATTTATTTCTAGAGTTTCGACCAATTAATTCAATGCGTGAATGATTCTGTAAATAAGCTACAAATGAGCATCGACGATACTTGCCCCGATCTGAATTGTATATTGAATACCCAACAGCTGGTAACGTTTGCCTGTGACGTGGGAAATAGAGAAATTGTTCCCGTCCTCGCGAATTGCATCATAGATTATGCACGAGATGTGGTCAATCGACTTCTTGCATTATATCAAGGCTGGTTTATATTTTTTCCAGGGTACATGGATTATATGAATAATTATGTGGATGAATCGTTTAATTGCCTTAAAATATATGTAAGTAAACTTAGCGACGTAACACTCGAATGTAACATGATGAATAGTACACTGAATCATCTTGACAATCTTGTCAAAAATGCCGATGAAAATAATTTTTACAACTTTATTATTGCAATTATTAATTCTTTACCTACAATTTTCTCTTTTTCCTTGTGTTTTATTCCGCCTGTCTTTCCTTGGCAATACGGGAAATAAATCAAATAAATAAGTAAAATCAGAAGATATATTTACGTCATTTTCAGAAATGTAATTTCAAATTTTCCTAATTAACAAATAAAAGATAAATGGGTTTTACAAAGCAGGCTTTGCGTATTTTACTTTTGTTTTGTCGAATAGAAACGAATTTTTATTCTCTTTTTACAACAAATTAAAATTCATAATTTAATTCGGGTGTTAATTTGACCCGGTTTTGTATTAGGTTAAGCTGATTAAAGAGAGATTTTTGGAAATTCCACCCTCTCGGGGAAGAGGAGGAGAGATAGTCGGTATGAAGTGTAAATAATAAAGAAGGAAAGTAAATAGTGGCGCATATAGTATACATTTTGGCAATTAATAAATATTTCAATTATTTTCACTTTTCGGGTTACCCCAAAACTATAAAAAATACAAAAAAAAAATATATATATAGAAAGTGGATAAATCTTCGTTTCCTGTGGAGCCCGTCCATTAAATACGTGTACAAATTAAGGGGAAGAAAAGGTTGCGAAAACTTCATCGTTGTATACAAGTAAAAGTGGACCCTTAATTAATGGACGGCCCCTTGATAGTTTCTGTCTCTATCCTACGTCAGCTTTAAGAAAAGAGCAAAGGAATAGTCTCGCCGTTCACGGGAATTAAATATAGGTTCTAGTATGACGTCATGCTAATGTGAATTAACTCCCGCGGGAACACTAACATAACTCGTATTCTTGTTATTCCCGATTAACTGTCTTCGTGTAAATGTAGCTTCCTTGAAGATTTGTTTGTAACGTATCCACGCACTCTGGTGACAAAATTCGATTCGATGTTTCGATTAATCTAAAATATTTTGATTCTTGTTTTAAATACAAATAAAATTCAATTTTAAAATAAATTGTGTTTTATACTAATTTTGTAAAAACTTGATTATTTTACTTAAATATTTAGATTTAGACATTACATTTGTTGTATTCGAAATCACTATTTTTGAATGAATATTAAAATAAAAGTATTTCTTGAATAAAAATATTAACAAAATTCACATTTAGTAAAGGAATATTGAATAAAAATACATATATATAAAAAAGTAATTTTATTTAATTTTGAACTATTTTTATTAATATTATTTATAAATAAATCGGCAGGTGGTGCTGTGTTTTAATGGCCGCCTACGTGTTTACGTTTCTGAAAAACACGTGATTGTTTTATTTTCAAATAAAAAATGAGATTGAAAGAAATAGGGTGCTTAGAAGGACACAACGATCGTGTTTGGTGCGTTTCTTGGAATCTCGAAGGTATTCTTTTAGCAAGTTGTAGTGGCGACAAAACAATTCGAATTTGGACGGAAGAAGGTAAATACTCGTGTTTAAATCTGATAGATGATGGCCACATAGCCCTAGTCACGTGTCGTGGGAGCACAAATGTAGTTTTGAATGAAGCGATTGAGACCTATTGAGACGCTCCTATTGGGGATGGGTCCTTTAATAAGGTCCCACCGTCCATAGGATCATGACAATTCTGTATACATGTTTAGAATGAAACAATGTCTAAATTTTGATATTAATGCAGCAGATATTGACAAAAATGCTGACTTAATTAATAAATAAAATGTTTAGTAAATGCAAAAATTATAGTAATATTTACAGATGAGGAGATTTAAATAAATTAAATCTTTGAATCTTTGACACAAATTCTTAACAGCAACAATATTAAGGTGTTTATGTTCATTTAATGGTTGTCACTCTGGTCCTAGTCTCTTTTATTAACTCTATAGGAAACATCATGAATGCATACATGACAAAACATTTCTGAAAATTATTCTAGGATTCAATGATTTATTTATTAAGAGCACTTATATATAATTTAATTGAATATTCTTCCTATAAGAAATATTTTAGGTACTGAAAAGCATATAAAAGCTATTGAGTGTGTTTAGAAACTGTTTTATAAGGACCTTGAATAAGTTCTTGCTGTTCTTTAACAGATGGCGTTACCAGAACCACGCGTGTTTATTTTTAGATGGTGATGCATCTGTAAGGAAGTACAATAAGCGACCTTGAAATTCAGTATATGTCATTTCACCGAAGTGTAAACAACTTATTTTTTCATTGTGTTAAACATGTCTAGTTTTGTGCCAAAAAAAGAGTATTTGCAGGGAATTTTATTGCACTATTTTATTCAAAAAAAATCTGCAGCTGAAGCGCACAGAATTCTTGTTGAGACTTACGGCGACCATGCTCTGTCAGAAACAACATGCAGAGATTGGTTTAGACGCTTCAAAAATAATGATTTTGATGTTGAAGATAAAGAACGATCTGGTGCACCAAAAAAGTTTGAAGACAAGGAATTAGAGGCATTACTTCATGAAGACTCATGTCAGACGCTAGCTGAACTTGCAGAATCATTAGGAGTTGATCACACAACAGTTTCGAAACGTTTAAAAGGATTAGGAAT